TATATATATATATATATTATGTTTTAAGTTTGTATGTTCGCAAGTTGACATATTATGTTGACATGTTCATACCGAACCTAGAGTCATACATACAGTTCTACTTCTTCAAAGTATACAAGTATGGCAGGCCTCATTGGCCTTACAGAGCTTGATCGCAGGAAAGCTCTCTGCTGTCCTGGCGAAGCAGTGGTCCGAAGTCACGGCCGAGGTGGCGAACAAAGCGTTATTAGGCCATGTTTCGCACAGAAACCCTTTCTCTCTTTGTTCGGTCTATCTACCTATTTATCTATCTTACTATCTATCTGCTGTAGCTACTGATGATCGATCGATCTGACAAACTATTCATCAACCTATCGGTCTATCGACCTATTGATTTGTGGATCGATCGTTCCATCGCTCCATCGATTTCTGGAACTATCGTTCTGGCGAGCTATTGACCTATCGATGATGTATCTATGTATCTATTCGAGCTGCAAGGCTTTGGACTCAGAGTTTCAGCTCGACCAATACCGGCTGGTTCTCCGCGTTCAGCCACCAAACACCAGCCGAGCTCAACTAAGAGAAGGCAGTTGTTGCACCTAAACCCCAAAGAACATACCCTTGCCATGGGACAGCACTTCCGTAGGTAACACATACGTCAAGCTGACATGGGCTTTTGCCTCTGTGCAAGATTTGATTCAGACGAGAGTGGAGAACATGGGCAAGATGTTGAGCTTGCAATCAAAACAGTATATACCAGGACGGTTGACCAGGGACTAGCGACCAGAACGCCTAAAACAGGACGTCGCTGACAGGAGCTTTCTGTAGTGGCCTGCTCAATGAGTCAAGAATCTGAGAAATCGGAACCAGTGCCGCTTGGCGAGCATTTACCAAGATGAGACTCAAAAGATGTGTTGCAGCTCTCACCAGGTATGTGGTTTCTCTTGTGTACATAATTCCGTAGAGTTATATAGACCATATTAGAAAGCACAGTCTTCCTCGTGCTCGCGAGGAGGTGCAGGCTCGCCGTCTTGGCATGCAAAAGCTCAAGGCAGGATGCAGCGGAGATGCAGACGTGAAAACCCACCAGTTACATGGTTCCAATGACATCGATGTTTATGAGAATATGTGAGCTTTCACCCCGGAGATGAGACTCGTCTCTGGCTGTCTTCTCTGGGAAGAATTCAGGAGTGAGTTGAGCGGATCTATGTCCTGAGCCGTTGGCACTCCAGCCACGAATGCCGAGTTGGTGTGACAATTCGCCATCTAATGTTCGTCGTAATGCCTGCAAAAGTCGCCCTTGCTTTCCCTAACTGCCATGCTGCGTAGGATCATGGCCGTAGCAATGGCTGCCGCTGTACTCCGTGATTTCCGCGTTACCATGACTTCGAAAGCAGATCTCTACTTACATCTACTTTGCAAGGCTTTGCCTACCTATCCGGCGCTGTGAGAGTTAGCTTGTTTGCAGTTGAGTAAATTTTCTCTTCACCCAGTGGCTAGCGAAGCGAGATTGAGAGGAAGCCAGCTGTGCATAACATGAACTTCTGTACCAAGGTACATGTGTGCGCGAACGTGTGTGCATGTTGATATTTTTGCTATTTGCTTACAGGCATGTACATGTACCATCTACGGATGCGCTTCCGCACGTTAGAACAAGCATTGTCAATGCATCACACTGCAATATGTCATTCGCCATGTACGGTGAGAAATGAAAAGACCGTAGAGCACGAAGCCAATCAAAGCCCGTGAACTTCTAAGCTTCGACAAGTGGCCGCAGGTAAACAAGCGCAGCATATAGTCACTTAGGTACCCTGCGAGTCAATACCATTTGTCATCATAAGCGAGTGGTAGCATGGAGCACATGCGCACTTCTGCAGCACACAACTCTCTCCCAGACACGACATATCAAACCCGATGCACTCGTACCATACTATGTACGTATATTCAGATACAGAGATATATATGTATCTTTCTCGCTCGCTCGCTCGCTCTCTCTCTCTCTCTCGCTCTCTCTCGCTCTCTCTCTCTCTCTCTCTCTCTCTTTTCTGTATATACATATACAAACAAATAAGTACAGCACATAGGAACACAAACACACACACGTATATATATATATATATATATTCTATAGAAAGAGTATATACACCTGTATGTGAAGAGCCTCGTGCAGGGAACAGGGCTTATCACATAGGAAACCAACATGTTCATAAGAACGAGCAGAGGGCTCACTGCACATATGTGTTTACATATATATATATATATATACACACACACACATATATATATATATATATTATAGATAGATAGATATATATATATATATAGATGCTACTACCCGATCTGGGTTATCTGCTATTTTGGGGTGGAATGACCGAATTGGCCCATTGCGCGGGCTGCGACGCAGTCCGGATTGAAGATCTCATCGGTTGAAGGGGAATGCGTGGTGATGCGAAGGTGTGGAGGGGTAGGATGCCCCAATGACCATAGAGTAGGACTTATTGTGTGTGGGATTATAAGGGAACCTTGGTCCTTGAGAGGGGGGGGGGTGTGCCCACCCAAAGACCAAGGTTTTCAGGTAAGAACTGACCGTAGCCTTCATTGCTTCAAACATGCGATCGAAAGGGTCCTCTCGGTAGGCGCACCTTTTTAATGGTGAGACGCCTTTATAGAACTAACTGGAGGTTTGTTGAAAGGTAGGCGCACCTTTTTGAGGGGTCCTTCTGATAAGGATGATACTACTTGGGGCTATATTGAGAGCCCGTTGGTCTTCTGAAACTCCTAAGCACAGATGGCCCATTTACATGTATCGCATATACATGAGCCCTAAAGTTGCTTTTCATCCACCCTTTTTTACATCCAAAGTATACGCGACAAAGGTTTCTTCTAGAAGCCTTGAAAATAGAAGCCTTGAAAAGCGCTTATAGAACCCTTACAATCCCTTACAGATTTATGCAGAACAAGTGGCTTTTCCAACTTGTTCTACAAAAGCTCCCAAAAATTGGATTTTCCAAACTGTTGGCACACGTTCAACGAATTTTTGGAATATGTATAGAGGATTTCGTGGAAAAAGTTGAACAAAAAACTAACATTATTGCTTCCAAGTGTTTCAACAAGTTTGCTTTTCCCACTTTTCGTGGGAATTTGGGAAAAGTTGAAAACACAAACTGTGGGGGGCATCTCGTTGGTTTGTTTTTTCCACGAAATCCTCTATATATATATATAGATATTCCAAAAACTCGTTGAACTTTTGGCAAGAGTTTGGAAAATCCAATTTTTTGTGGTTTTTTGTAGAAAAGTTAGAAATCAACTTTGGGTAGCATTTCGTATCAAGCGTTTGCAAGGCCGGCCAATCCAAGATTGCCCACGTCGCTTCGACGAGAGTAACTGCATCTCCAAGAGACATCATCCTGCAGCCGAGTGACCAGGGTTGGGGTACGTGGGGGGGGGGGGGGGG